AAAAAAAAGTAGACAGGACAAATGCTTTAATATAAAGCTTTCATGAGGGGGGAGGGGAGAAGCTCCTAACTAAAAATACTGACATTAAGCTTGGTACCACTCATACCACCAGGTATTTTAATAAAATCAGAAGATATTAAAAGAATAAAATAACTAATATTAGAACTCAGAATGATACATTTATAATTTTATAAGCTAGAAAACTTCAGACATGATGAAATGGGTAAGAATGTTAAAAAGTTAAGAGTCTATATATTTATTTATTTATTTTTGAGACAGTGTCTTGATCTACTGCCCAGGCTGGAGAGGTACAATTTCAGCTCACTGCAATCTCTGCCTACTGGGTTCAAGCGTGTCTCCTGCCTCAGCCTCCCACAGGTATATAACACCAGGCCTGGCTAATTTTTTTTATTTTCAGTAGAGATGGGGTTTCACTATGTTGCCCAGGCTGGTCTCGAACTCCTGACCTCAAATGATCCATCCACCTCTGTCTCCCAAAGTGCTGGGATTACAGGTGTGAGCCACCACACCCAGCCAGAAGAGTCTTTAAATACAGTGTTGCACTGTTGGGAAAAACATTTTAATCCCAGTGACAGACTGGGCCTAGGCCCTGGGAATTTGATAAAAGTTTCTTGTGACAAGTTCTTTTGCACTTACGTGGGGCTTACAGATAGACTGCCCTAAGCCAAACTCCATGACACAGCATTCAGTCACTTGACATTGGTAAGGAACACTGCAGAAGAGTGGGGTTTGCTGGAATCACAAAAGCATGACTTTGGATGGAAAGGAGCCTCAGAAAGCATCTAGCGGAACTGGCAATACTATTTTGAAGGTTCTGTAACTTCTAGAGGTTAAAGAATTACATGCTTATGAAATAGCTATGTCCTTCCACAATAGCATCTGCAAATACACAACCTAGAAGCACGATAGAATATTCAGATTAATGGGCAGAAGTTTTTACCAATCAGAATGAAAGTGTAACAAAATGCCACAGGTGTGCTGAGAGTAAAAGTGCTTTCTGCCAATCCAGCAAATCTTTAAGGAAGGCATATTCATCATGACTGCGATCTCAGAATGTGAATGGGCATTACTGGAATAATGTCAATGCTGGTACAAGAGGAAATGAAGGCTTGAGACGCCAGTCCTAGGAGGAAGTAGGATTTTGCATGGTAAGAGGAGAATCTCTCTAGGATGAAACAGAGTAAGATGAAAGTGAGAAGGGGAGGATAATAAAAGGAAAGCTCAATGTTTACAGTTTGCATGTTGCACTGTTGGTTGCCAAAGACACAGGGAAGATGGGCCAAAGACCCTCTGCAGGGGCTTTTCAAGAGGCACTGGATAAACCAGAGCCCAGGTGGGGATAGAGGAATGATCGGGTTATTTTCAAATTGAGGCTGAGGCAAGATGGTGAGGCTAAGATCCAGGCAGAGAAAGTTCCCAGAGGCCAAAAGAAAAAATAAATAAATTACCCTTGAACTGGTGGATGAAAACTAGGAGTGAAGTGTTTGTATCACCAAAGACAGAGAGAAGGAAGTCAGAGAGAAAAAACAAAATAAGGGAGAAGCTATGCAGAAACATACATACCCAATTAATTAACAGAGAAAGGGAATGGAGAAAAGGCTGAGAGAGATTCAGAGACAGATGGAAATAGGCTGGATGGTACAAAGGCACTTGAAAAGCTGTGTTGTATAAAGGAATGGAGAATGAGTTATACACTGACAGCTAGAACTGAGCCATACGGGTAAGCACGTATTTGGTCATTTCCCTCATCTGTGCATTCTGGCCCCTGTGATTTCACCTGGAAAACAGCAGCTTCATGCTGAGTGGGGTAAAGAGGAGCAGTGGAGAAGAAGGGTAAGTTCTTTCTTATCAATTCTTCTTTCTCATCAATCTCAGAGAAAGAAGCTTTGAGAAGGACTACTCATCCAGTCATGTGGCACATTCTCCAGGGCAGCAGTTGGGACCAAAACAGTATGGGAGGAGGGCAATCAGACAAGGAGTAAGCAGGCACACAGGCATGGGATTATAACGTTATCTAACATGACAGCTATTTCCATAAGGGGCCAAGAGGAGACACAATTCTAAAGACTCACCTAAAGAAAGGAAGGAATTAAAATTCAATGAATCAGTCAACAACATTCAGTGAATACTTTATACACGTCAGGCCCTGTGTTAGGTGTTGAAGAAACAGAGAAAAATAAAAGAACGAATCTGACCTCAATCAAGCTGTTCACAGACTCTTGTGGGGGGAGGGGAACAGGTTTGACAGCTAGGGGAAGGTGAGGGGGGAACATCACGGTTGGTCAGGCTTATGGGACCTTTATCATAATCCCTCTGAGAGCAGCATGGAAGGTGAGCTGAAGAAGTGAGAAGCACTCCTCTGTGACACTTTCCTTGCCACCTCCCCTCCCCTGGCAATGCGATGAGCATGGTTAGCTAATGTGTGAAAAGAGAGAGTCAGTGAATAATTCTATAAGAGTAATTCTGCAAGCTATGATGACAAGCACTAATGGATACCAATATATTCATAACCTCATGAGAAAAATAAGGCTGGGATTATACAAGTTATGGCAATTCTTCATTTAACAAGTGGGATTTCTTTCTTTTTTTGAGATGGATTTTCGCTCTTGTTGCCCAAGCTGGAGTGCAATAGTGCGATCTCGGCTCACCTCAACCTCCGCCTCCTGGGTTCAGGCGATTTTCCTGCCTCAGCCTCCCAAGTAGCTGGGATTACAGGCATGTGCCACTATGCCAGGCTAATTTTTGATTTTTAGTAGAGATGGGGTTTCTCCATGTTGGTCAGGCTGGTCTGGAACTCCCGACCTCAGGTGATCCGCCCACCTCAGCCTCCCAAAGTGCTGGGATTACAGGCGTGAGCCACCATGCCTGGCCAACTAGTGGGATTTCTAAGTAATTTGGTTTACTCTTTAAACATCAATTTTTAACCCAAATGGCAGCAGTCTTTCTAAACATATTTATACATTTTGTCTTTTAAAGCAAAGTGAAGTTGCCTGTTTTATAAACACACACTCCATGGAGATCTATGATATGTGTGATTTTCCCACCTGGTTCTCTCCATAGCTATTGCTTGGATCCTTTTCCCTCTGCATACTGTAGTGTTACCTTGAACTATTTCTTGCTCTGACATCGTCAGTGCCACCTGCTAGAATTGGACATAAATGAAGAACAGACTCCAAATGAGGGTGGGGATGTTATCCTATTAGTAAAGATGATGAATCCTATTACATTAACTCTATTTTTCTTGTTCTGAGATATTTTGGTTATCTCTTGATTCTTAAGTGGGTTCTACATTATTGAGATAGCCAGAACAACAGCTCTGGATATTATACTACAATATCTATTTTTTGCTTTAAAATATAACACAGTAGCTTGACTTTTCCATTGTAAGAAAGGGGGGATACTGTACAAATATTCTCTTCCCAAAGTAAATCTTAAGTACTACTATTAAGGAAAAACAGACCGAACTTAGGTAAGAGATAATTTAGGAATGGCAATTTACGGTCAGGCACAGTGGCTCATGCCTTTAATCTCAGGACTTTGGAAGGCCAAGGCAGGCAGATCGATTTAACTCAGGAGTTGGAGTCCAGCCTGGGCAGCATAGCTAGACTCCACGTTTACAAAAAATACAAAAATTGGCCAGGCATGGTAGAGTGTGCACCCACAGTCTGAGCTACTCAGGAGGCTGAGGTGGGAGGACGGCTTGAGCCCAGGAAGTGGAGGTTGTAGTGAGCCCAGATTGCACCACTGCACTCCAGACTGGGAAACAGAGCCAGACCCTATCTCTACCCCCTTGCAACAAAGAATAGCAATTCACTATATTACCAAAACAAGGTTCTTTCATGTTTTTTGTAAGTTACCAAATGTGCATTTCTCTCAAATATGAAGACCTGATGAACCAATTCAAGAGCTTGTTCAAGAAAATAATCAAGATGAGTCAAGTTTAATGACAGACTAAGTGAGATGCGATGCAGGAAGGAAATATGTCATAGCAGCATTATCATGAGGAGTAACAAACAAAAGAACAGAGCCAGTTCATCGCTGGGAATTCTGGAACTCTCAAGTCTCATAACAGCAATACTAGAGTAAGGATGACCTGATGAAGACTCAACTAAAGTTCAATATCCCAACTGAGCCTCTCATTCTTTTTTAAAACAACTCTTTTCAGGTTTCTATACATATCCACGCATAAAACAAGACAAACTGATTATCAAAAGACAGAAATAATACATTACTAACACTGTCTATCCAAATTTGGATTTAATTTTGATCTCACCTACCTAATTTTCACAGGACTAAGATAATCTGTAACTGATATTCTTTTAAATAATCACCACTTCATTATATAATAACCAAGAGAACACAATTCCTTCTATATTTCTGTATTCTTGTCATTTAGACAATTTTGTCATGACTTGTCAAAGCCACACCAGAAAATGGTCAACCCTGGCAAGTAAAGAAGTTGTACCTCTATTCTTACGTTAGTTCACAATAGAGCTTAAAACAGTCACATGGAGAAAGAACACCAAAGTTTATCATCAAAGTGGAGGGGGAACACCTGATGCTGAAGTTAGATGCCATAACAATAGTAACTGTAGTCACTAACATTAACAAACACTTAGGAGCCAGGCACTGTTCTAGGTGCTTTTAATGTATTTACCTCATTTAATTATCACATGAACCCTATGAGGGAGGTGCCATTCTTAGCCCTATTTTTTCACACATGAGGAAACCAAGGGACAGATAGACACAATCCCCTGACTGATAGGCAAGTTGCTATCAATCAAGATATCCTATTTCCAGAGTCTAAATTCTTAGTCACAAATGTTAAGACTGTCATTTTATAAATAGGCAATGGATGTAAATTGTGCTTACACACAAAAGTGTTATTTACAGCTTTTAAAAAGTCATTTTTATTATTGTTTTAATAATTAAGTAATTTTCACTATAGGACACAAAAACACTGAAACCTTGATGTAACTCTGCCAAAAGGTTCCAAATTGTGACATCACACGGAGTCAGGAGTACTGACATAAGGCCCTTCTGTTACTTCTGGCAACAAACACCAGAGAGGGACTCTCGGACAGACTGGTCTTATTCCAAATTCAGTGTATTACAGTGATGTCCCATTTTATGATCTTAGTAGAAAACTTAGTAAAGTTCTGCGAAGTACACGTAAACTCTTCACATACAGATCCTGGGCAGTCTTTCAGGATAGTTGAGAAGAAGTAGTCTACATTATTATTACTTCTTTAAAAGTCCTTACTCCCCAGACAGATTTGCTAATGGAACTTAGTAACACTGTATTTCTTTCCCTAAATATTTATTAGATATGACACAAGAAAGATAAATGAGGAAGAAAAGTTGCCACATCATTTGTGCCTTTCACTACTATTATGCTTTTATGGTAGCATAAAGGACTGTTTCCCTATTTCTTTTTAACCTGAATGACTTGGAGTCCATTTAAGTTTGAACCCTGGCTCCCTCCTCCGTGTTACTGGCTGTCCAGCACCGGGCCAGTTCCTCGACTTTTCCAAGCTCCAGTGTCCTCGCCTCTAGCACGGGAGCACAGCGTGACTGTGAGAACTGACTGAGACAATGTACATCATCAAGTGCTAAGCAAAGTGTACCTGGTTCAATGTCAACAAAAGGAGACTGCAAAAGTCATCATTCACATCAGAAGAACACAATGGAAAGCATATCAGGTATTCAGGAGATTTTTTTTGTCTCTTACGTAATATTTAATATAAATGCCAAACTCGAAAAAAGTTACCAATAATGAAAAATCACATTTTCCTTATTCAATAATTTATCTAGAGAAAAAAGGCCTAGCAGGAGAAAGAACACTAAAAAGTTCATCCAGAATTTATTTGAACTCTCAAATCTACAATTATAAAAGGGAAGAGTAAAAACAAACAAAATGCTCACCATGGATCGAATGCTGGTTGTCTTTTTGAGTGGTTGGTTCCAGAACTGCTCTCTGATGGTAGGGAAGAAACTCTGGTGGACACATTATTTTCGTGGAAAGAATTGTCCGGACGTGGAGATGGCACTGAATAAAGAAAAAGTAAGTCACTGATGGAGTTTTTTTTTTTTGAGACAGGGTCTCGCTCTGTCACCCAGGCTGGAGTGCAGTGGCGCAATCTCAGCTCAGTGCAGCCTTGACCTCCCAGGCTCAAGCAATCCTCCTGCCTGAGCCTCCCAAAGTGATGGGATTACAGACATGAACCACCACACACGGCTGATGTACTCTTTTGGTCAAAGCAGTTTTCACATTATCCTATTGCATTTTCTCTAACACAAATAAAAAACAAACAAACATAAAAATCCTCATCTACCCTTCACATAACTTTTGTGTTTTCTGAGGGTGAAGGCATTCCAGGGAACCTTCTCCCTCAACCACTGCTTATGACACTAACTTGCAAGGGGATAGCTGACACCAGGTAATATGTACTGAAAACAGAAACTTGACCTGCCAGATGATAAAGTGAAGAACATTATAGGATATGTTCTTTCTCTCCTCTCTCTCTCTCTCTCTCTTTAATAAGAGACTGTTACCCACGCTGGAGTGCAGTGGCACGATCATGGTTCACTGCAAACTCCACCTCCCAGGCTCAGGTGATCCTCCCACCTTAGCCTCCTGGGTAGCTGGGACCACAGGTGCACACCACCACATCCAGCTAATTTTTTGTAGAGACAAGGTTTCACCATATTGCCCAGGCTGGTCTCGAACTCTTGAGCTCAAGTGATCTGCTCACTTCGGCCTCCCAAAGTGCTGGGATTTACAGACGTGAACCACTGCACCCGGCCAGGATATTTTCAAGTATGAATCTCATAGCCCCTACCACCATCCCCTGCACCGTTCTGGCATTCTTTGAAGTTAAAGCTTTCTTATTATAGATCAACAACGTAAAATCTATTCTTAGTTTGAAGTAATTCACATGTGTGCTGAAACAGACAAACTACAGTTTAAGCCTTGACACTTGGGAGGTAGTATCGCTCATGTTTTTAAACTAAATTATACAGAAATTCAGCTAGTTCTACAAAAATATTATTTTTCTCTAAATTCTAAAGAACAGAAAGTTAAAACACAATGTACGTGAGTAAATACTTTTCTGCTTTTGGGTGGAATAGTTGTTAACTTTTTCTGTCAATTTCTAAGAATGGTTATAATAAAAATATACTGTAAATTTCACCACAAAAGGAATATACAGACTGTATACCAAGATAAATGACACCATTTCACTTATCTCTTGACCAGTAGAATGAAAACAGGAAGCATTCTGGAAACATCTGTCATTTCAATGATACCACTAAATCTCCCTCTAGAACTTAGTAGTATCATTGAAATGACAGGTGTCTCCAGATGCTTCATCTAGTTAAATATTTTTCTTCTATATCTGAAATTTTTAAAATTAAAAATTCCACCTGCCAAGCTCTCATCACCCTCTCTACTGAGGTAGACCTATGAAGTATTTCTCTGAATTAACCCATTTATTTTTTTTGCAATCAAAATAAAACCACGTTTCCAGAAGTAAAAGACTAATTAATTTAAATCTCCATTAGCATTTTATATTAATGCTATTCTCCACACATCTATAGAAGTAACATGCCTATGGTACATTTTAGAGGTAACGTTTTTGGTGATAGAAGAAAAGGCTTTTGCATGTGTATGCTATGATGTTTTAATTAACTTAAATCTGAATTTAAAAATTTAGTCCTATAAAATTCTAAAGTGTAATCATGATATCAGAAAAAAATGCATTAAAAGGCATATTCAATCAATGCCTTATGCTTTTCCAAAGGTGGGGCTGGAAGGGAAGGAACAGAGTAGCCTAATCATGAAATATACACTTAGTCCTAAATAACACTTCTATGCATTTATTTAGCTGGATTTCTAATTAAAATGACTAAGCAGTTCTCCATATCCCAGCCCCAAATCCTGGCCCTTTCCAACTATCCTCCTAAAACAACAGAAATAGTGGGAAGTCAGGCAACATGGGCTTAGGAGGCCTTAGAAAGCTGTGGTGACTCTTGAAGGCTTTGCAGGCCTCCTGACCCCAGGCCTTGCTCGTGGCCCTGTGGGCTTGCTGTCCATTTTCTCCACCAGGGTGTTGGAATGCCAAAGGGCTTTACAATCTATTATTGCAGAGTTACTAAAAGGGATTTGTCTTTCAATGTCTCCTAAGTTCATACAACCCCAAAAGCATCTGTTTTAGTTGTCTGTTAAATAGCAAAGTACATTTTAGGCTGTGCAAGTACGCTTGACATTTTTCTTTATTTCGACAAATATTTATGAAACTATGCCAGGCAATGTACTAGTCAATAAGAATAAAAAGAAGAGAAGATGAAGAGAACTGAGTGTCTCTGAGGGGCTCACAACCTCATAAGAGAGAACTGCAGACAAAGAATCAGTGCAACGTGGTCAGTGTTCCATCAGAGTTACAGACAAGGTACCACAGACAAAACAGAGAAGAAAATGTTTCACTCCATCTGGAACAAACTGTAGGAAGACATTATACTGAAGAGGATCTTAAAGACAGGGACAGAAACAAGCTGTTCCAGCAGGAGGAAGAGCACATTTCAGGCCAGAGGAGAGCACAGCCTGTGCAGACCCATAGGCTGGGTATCAGAGAGACCTGGGGGTGGGGGAGAAAGTGGCTGGAGAGGATAGTAAGGGCCAGACCATGGGAAGTCTGGAATGACATCCTAGAGAATTCAGAGTTTGTCCTGATGCCAGTGGGAAGCCAGCAAAGGACTTTCAACAGGTGAGCAACAGGGGATTAGGGGATGGGTAGGGTGGGGTGGGCAATGGGATGCCTTACTCTATTTTTCCCCCCTTGTAACACTTAGTATCTTTTACTGCTCTATATAATTATTATGTTTACTGTTTATCCCTCCTCCCGAGGATGATGTGAGTTCTGTGATGGTGGAGATCTTTGGCTGTCTTGTTCACTGACAAGTTCTAAGCCAGAACAGTGCCAGACACACAGGTAACATCAATAAGTATGCTATAGGTTGATAGAACGAAATGAGTGGTATGGTCAGAACACAGCTTCAGAAGGATCACTCCAGTCACTATATTGATGGGTACCTTGGAGATAGGGAGACCAGTTAAGAGGCTACTCAAGGAGGCCAACTCAGAAGCCAGGAGGGCCTGACTTAGCAGGAGCAGAGGCAGGGAGAAATGCTAGAAGGCAACAGTGTAGGTGAGAAGGCTGCTGGCCTGAAGTCAGTGAAAGCAGTATGTACATAAAGCAAGAGAGGGAGGAGAGGGGAATCTGGTGAATGCTGGGGATGGGCTTACCTCTGTAAAAGCTACCAACTCTCCTTGGCATGGGATCATTATACAGATGTCTATTTTCTTTGGGGGCTGTGCCATCATCAGAGTGTGGGTCATGATATACTCCACCCTGAGACAGGAAAGAAATTTATAAAAGTTAAGCCACACATTGATGACAATATTGCCTATGCCTTTTTTCTTGAGACAGGGTCTCACTCTGTTGCCCAGGCTGTAGTGCAGTAGTGCAATCATGGCTTACTGTACCCTTGACTGCCCCAGTTCAAATAATCCTCCTGCCTCAGTCCCGAGTAGCTGGGACTATAGGTGCACACCGCTACACCCAGCTAATTTTTACAACTTTTTGTAGAGATGGGGTCTTGCTATGTTGCCCAGGCTGGTCTTGAACTCCTGGACCCAAGCAATCCTCCCACCTCGGCCTCCCAAAGTGCTGGGATTACATGTGTGAGCCACCTGGCCCAAATTTAGAACAGTGCCTAATCAATCTAGAATTGTGTAAAACTCAGAATTATGCCACAAGGAAAACTACTTACTTTTTAAGCCACTTCAACTTATTTGTGGGAGAGTGGATATTAATATATTTTAAAAGCTAGGCAGTTAATGATGTTGAACAAATAATGTTTACAGACATATTTTATTGTGACATACCTCAGACTTCTGGCGTGTATGGAAGGAAGAGGTGCCTTCTCTGGAGGTCTCTTTGACTGATGATCTTGCCACAGTCATCTCTGGAGGGAGCTGTTCTCCAGGCTGGAAGTAAAATTTAAAAGGATTTATAAAAGCATACTGTTCCTAGGGATGAAACTCATCACGGCCATTATTTGGTATGACTAGAACCATAACCAGCTAAAATAAAAAATGTTAGTTGGCTAAAATACAAATATAGTCCCATAAGAATGAATAATCTGATGAATGTAATATAAGGCAAATTTCACACAGATGGAAAGTAAAATTCTCATTAAAGTTAAGGCAAGCAGGGAACAAATTAGTCTGAAAATAGTTCAATTAATTATTAAAAACAAAAAAAAATTAACCTTCTAATATCTAGACAGTCATGGTTCTGAGCAGCCCTCTGATTAGGGATTCTATTAGTTTATCTGAAATTTCTCTAGATTTTCAGTCTGAGTTCTCCAAAATGAACTGTGCAGTTCCAAAAGTATTTTTCATGCAGGACTTATAAGGCAAAGTCAGATGAAAACAAGTGATTTTTGAATATATCAAGGAATAGAATAAGTCCTTTTAATAATTTTTGTGTTAAAATCCTCTAACTACTATAGTTTATGTGCTTAAATTCTTGTCTTAATCTCCTCTAGGATAACAGCACTTATGTTTCACGCATTTTCTGAAGCCAAATCATGACAGTGCTCATCTCCAAAGACATACCACTACCTACCTCTCTTAAAGAAGTGAGTCACAAGCTAAGAACACTACTTAGTCCACAATGGTGTTCACTGAGGGGGAAAAAATGTGGCATTTTCCATCATCAGAAAAAAAGATCAAGGAAGAAAATTACCAAGTCATTAGAAGGAGTTAGCTGCATTGCATCTGTATATTATGCACAGAAAAGGGCATTACCTTGAGCCTATGTGACATATCAAAAATATTTTATTTAAGATTTAAAATATGATTATGTTTTCTCCCTCTCATTCTCCAAATGGACTCTGAGGATTCTGGGCAGCAATTCAACCAACATAGCCTTCCTTCTATTTAATGAAAATGTCTCATTTGACTTTTACCACCTGTATTGTTTACAAAGGCCTCTACAAAAAGTATTTTAAGAAAACAAATTATTAACATCTAATATGAACTCAGTAAGAGTTTCTATGCTTTTGAAGGTGGTCCGATTCTTTGCATAGGAGTGATTCCTATGATTCATTCACAACTGAAGTTACTTTTCCAGCCTTTCTGGTACCTTTGTGCTTTTAAACTGGTACTTTCTTGTAGCTGGGCACTGTACCTCCTGAACTGGCCTTCACAGTCAGGAACAGATCTGTGCTTAGCCCACAGTAACTGTTTATAATTTGCTTATGATCACCATGTTCACAAAAATCCTTTTCCTGGAATTCTCAGAGAGCAATTACTTTTTCTAAGTTAAAAAGCTATTTGTTTTTGTGATTTCTTCTCCATTTTGTACCATGCTTAATGCTAGCACACTTTACCTAATTTTCCCTTCCATCTCTCCTCTACAGGAAGCTGTCAGGAGATCTTTCTAGGTTCTGGATGTTCTTTCTCCTGACAGTGTCTCCTCAGGGCTCCTGTGACCATTCCTCTGACTGCACTTCCAGCCTCTACAAATGGGCACCTCCTGTCTTCTCCTTTCACCTGGATACCAGACCATATTTTTAGCCTCTTAGAGCACACTTCTGCTTAGAGGCCACTTCAAACTCAACATGTCAGCAAGACACAGTGGCAAGCGGCTGACCTCAGCACCTGGAGCCTGCCTCATAATTCCAGCTCCATCCTGAACTAGTTGGGTAAACTTGGAGCAACTCACCTAACTTCTCTGAGCTTTGACATGCTCGTCTGTGAAATAAAGGGGTTGAATTAGGTGACTTCCAAATTATTCTCTTCCACTCCAAAAAGGAGGTCCTAGAAAAGAAACCATGAAGTCTTCCTTTTTCCTATATCCAATCCTTCAAAAATCACAAATTCTGTTGTTTCTACTTCTGAGGAGTAGAAGATCCACTCTGTTTGAACTGGCACTGACTTAGTCCCAAGTCAGTATACTCTCCTCACCTCATGCTTGAATTATTGCAAAAGCCACTCCAAATCTTGCACGTTTCACTCCAGCAAAGTGGAACAAGTCGTAATCCCCAAAGCACACCATGCTATGTAACATCTGTTACCTTCCTTCTCCTTCCAATGCTCTTTTCTTCCCTCTTTCCTAAGGTCGCTGTCACTTTCTTCCCAACCTTCCTGGAAGTCTCTACTCAGGTACCACCTGTTCTAGGAGCTCCCACAACTCACAACTTGGACTGTCCCGCTCCCCTGGCACACAGCATACCTCTAGTGCAGTAGCCAGAATGTAAGCTCGCAGTAGCGGAACAACCTGTTGACAAGTGTCCCCTGCCAGCCCACACACTAAGAGGACAGGGACCCTATTCTTTTCATCTTTCTAGCTAGAGCTTTTCACGGTGCCTAGCTCAGCACATGCCTGAAGATATCTTCACTCTTCAGCCTATTCAAAGCTTGTCTATACATCCTAGCCCAGAGCAAGACCTTCAGTTGCCTGTAAAGCCGTTTCTAACTGCACCTGTTCATAATAACCTCACTCTATTCTCAATTCCTATTTATAGCCGTATTGACTTAGGTCTTACTTATTTCATTGTTATCATGTATCATTTAATCCTCCTCAAGAACAGGTAAGTTTCTCAAGTGCAAGAGCTCTCTCAGACTCTTTTGAGTGCCTGGGAACGTCTAGCACAGAAAAGGTGTTCAATGTCCAAATATCAGCCCCTGCAATCACAGAAGCAGCAGGAATAACTAAAATTTGTCAGATACTTACTTTGTGCCAGGCACTGGGCACAGTGCTTTATAAATGAAATCATGAAAACGTTATTTTTAAAACATGCTTTATTGTAAGAATGCTACTTCTTTTAAGCAGGTTAGGTCAGCTCTAGAGTCTGATGATAAGATGGAGGAGGTATTATGCTAAAAATACTGTTTTAAGATTTAAAAACAATCCAAAAAACTGAAAATTAACATCCTGGCATGACGTTAAATTTATCTATAGTTCCGGACAAATTTAAAACTTTTAAATTCAGTTAAAATATTGAGTAAGGTACTAGCAAAAGGTTTTGATTTAAGCAAATGTCATTTGGAGAGATCAGAGAAAATACCCATGAATTCACACTGTATTTTAAGCAAAACTAAAACCTAACCCATACAGCTGATGAATTCTGTAATAAATCAAAGTAAGATTCTCTCAACAAAATATGCCAGAAAGGAACATTCAAGAAAAAAACTAGATTGCTAAAAACAAACTTTTGACTTCTCTTGAATACTCAACAGTTGATCTAAGTAGATTTAAAACAAAACAAAACAAAACAAAACAGAGATTAGGCCAAGTATTGCTTCCCTAAATGCATCCTATCAAGAAAAGCACAACCTCCTGTAGTAAGGAAAATTGTAGACAGACCCTCGTTACATCCCTTGTAACACCTTCCCCTGAAGGGCCACCAGATCTGGTCAAGGTGCTCAACTGTACCTGGGGTGACAAGAGTTGCAGACTGTTGGCTCTAGCTGCCATCCCTTGCCCTATGCTCAAGCTTCCATCCAAGCCTTTGGCTCTCACTTTGTCACGGGTCACATACATAGAATGCCTATGAGGACGCTGCTGGGAAGAAAAGGGGCTGGTATAGCCCAGTCCATAAGAAAAAGATTCGTGAGGTGCAGACAGCGAATGGGAATGGCTACTGTCCATGTGCTCGGGCAGCTTCAATTCCTCCATTGTCTTGGAATGTCTGGTTGTGGTTCGACGTGAGTCCAGCGTTCCTTCATTTCGGTTATTTCTCCCTGAAGGGCTGAGTAAAGTTCTTGTGTCGCTGTGTCTGGTGGGGGTCGGGCTGGTGGGAGAATTCAAGTCTAAGCAGCTAGATGGGAAGTACCTACTGCTACTGGGCTCCGTAATTTGGGCCCTGGCTTCAGAAAGGTTACTCACAGACTTGGAGTCACTCAGTGCCCCATGGCTTTTGGCCTTGGTCCTGTAGGAGGGACTCCTAGAGGACTGGGGAATGGTGTCGATATAGCTATGCCGACTCTGCTTTTCATTGGGCTGCAGTGTCCCAGCTTTGCTCTGAGAGCTTTCCATGAATGAGTGGCGGTTCTGCTGAGATCTGCTGTTCGACTTGAGGTACTTTGTCCCTGGGCCTTCTGAAGGCTTTGGGTCAATGTTAAAATCAAACTCTGTTTTTGACTTGGCTTCTTTTGGGCTAAGAAGGTGTGGTATGTTGTTGTTGGTGAGATCTTTGCTGGTAGACCCAGGCTGGCTGCTTGCTTGGTAGGTTTTGGTATGCATTGGGCTAAGACTAGCTCCGGCAAGGTTTCCATTTAGGAAGCTTTCATTGGCAGGGAGACCTTCGTCAGCCCGGGGCAGGCCTACACTCAGATTCTGGATGTCTTTGCTGTTAGATCTGTGGTGAGACTGCAAAGCAGTACTTTTGCCGGCTTGGTTTCTATGTTAAAAACAAAAGAAGTTTATCAGTTTCCCTCAATAGCTGACACACAAAAAGTATTGTTAAAAAGAACAAATACTTAAAACACCTGGAAGACTAAAAACATTAATTCTCTCAAGCATGTGCCTACCAATAACAAGTAACCTATCAATAGCAATTAAGTTTCTTAGACCAATTCACTCTGTAACAAAGCACTGGCCTTGATGAAATTATCCTGGCACTGCTAAATGATCAGCTAACTTGCTGTCAAAACAGTTTCTAAATGATAATCTGGTAAAATATGCTCTCACTATGTTGGTACTCATATGGTGTTTGTGATAGAATGACTGCTAAGAAGAGAGCTGAGCTATAAACTCTGTAACTCTTTTGTCTGCTTGAATGTCAGAAGACAACATTTAGACTTAAAGGTTACTATGTTTCTTGAACTTCATTTTTATTTGTAAAACTTGTAGCCTACCTCAGAGATACATACAGCACACACACACAGACACCAATGTCTCTCTTGCCTGCATAATCAAAGAATGAGAATTCTGGCAATGTACTCAATAAAATAAAATGACACTCTAAAAAGAAATGTAAACTGTCCAGTGAGGTTTGTTGGAAAACATGATGATCAATGTTTATGTCTTGGAGAAGTGGCAATTACTCGGGGCTCTTCAGACATCTCCTTGTATAGTAAACAGGAATCCTGTACTATACCGGATTACAGAGAGCTGAAAGAGTTCATTTCTCTCCAAAAGACACAATTATTTTCTTTTTTATTTAACACTTCATTATCCTAGACCGACTGAGCCCTCCTATAGGACTTAAAGCTTCATTTCACACTTGGTTTAAAATCCAAATATAAATCCAGAGGAAAATCTTGTCCTCTATTTGAAAGCTGAAACTGATGCCATAGCAAGATCAGTTTGTTCTACTGTAACTATTGAAAGGACATAATTGTAGCTTGGGACAGACTAGAATGTTTAAAAATGAATAATGATTTACACAATTCTGGTTTTACTATACATTTAGAAAATTTTGCTGCAAATACTGCTATTGCTACAGATGGTTTGATTTGGGAGAGTTTTGTTCCCATGAGACACTAATTGGAAGTCACTTTTTTTGTTGTTCACGTAGAATGGTAGTCTGTAAAACTCTGCCTTCCAATTTTCCCCAGGAGAACTTGCATGCTCAGCCATCAAATAACATAAGGACCCTTTTCCTAGTCTACCTTTCATTCAGTAATCTCTGCCAGAATGCTACCTGAGAGTGTCAAAAATCTGATATCGAGCAAGCCTGTGACAGTGTGGGTGGCGGGGGGGGGGCTCATCTCTTAAATGTCCTCACTAATCTCTTCCAGTTGGGTTATTAGAATTGCAGCATTAAATAAAAGAATACCTAAATATGAGCACCAAATGGCAAAGCCCAGATCTAGAAAGAAATTACAAAGAAAGAAATACTAAGTTTCACTTTCTGCTAAATGATGTTAAGAGTCTATCCCCAGATCAATAAAGTCCCTGTATCCTAAAGGCATCAGGTTTTAAACCATTGAGTTGTTTGCCAACTTATATCTTGGTAACTGAAATATCTCAGTGACTTTTCAAACCTAAATAGTGATAGACCGTCTCACCCACAAATAGATCTAAGCGTGTTGGTTATTCTTCATTTGCCCAACCTCCAATCCATCCTCCACCCCATCAGCCCAGCCCTGGGTCTCAGGAATCCAATGCTGCAGATTGTCACCCACGCTTCCTAGCCAGTTAGCTTCTGGCTGGGCTTAGCAGTGGAAGGCATCACAAGACAAGAGGAGAGAGGGGCTGGGAGATGTCTTCCCTGCTCCTTTCCTGCAGGCATCTGCACCCTGACTCAGATCATGGCTGTGTCCTTCTAGATGACAGCTTCTAAAGAGTGGCTCCTCCTGCCCAGCTCCAGCTCTCCCTGGACTATCAGAACCCTATTTTGTCCCCATTCCCCTTCAAGCCTAGAGACAGTAATCGCAGACAGATAACATGTGCAGATACTGGGAAATGTCCTCAGATCACGAAGACCAAAAAGGGACAGAGAACAGCAAAGGCAGTTGCTTGAGCCTTTGGAATACTTAGAAACACTGTTAGCAATGTTGAGCAGAAACGTACATGTGGATCTTAGAAGAACATATTCAGAGCAATGTAAGAGACAATTCTAACATGTAAAGAGAGGTTATCCAGTTAAGGTAGAAACTGTCAAAGCTTTAGGTTTTCCATAAGTGTACAAAGAGCTTAAACTGTCATTCTGAGTGTTTGTGTCTCAGGATTAGTTGGAAACCACTGAGCTTTGCACCTAATTCCTACATAGAAAGGGTGTCATACTGTCTTCACATTGGAGCTCTGCCAAAATGCAACAATAAAATACAGCTTTGAAAATTCCATAGATCTCTTTGACACACAACTGTAAAGAATCTGTGCTAAATTGCCAACTAGTTTAAAAAATTTTACATATAAACTCAAATGGTTGCAGATGGAAGGATGGATAATGATTTAAAGTAAGTTTTAAAAGCAAATGTCAAAGGTGCAAAGCTCCATTTTGACGGAGAAGGCTGGCGCAGGACCGGGAGAGTGGCAGTGTGGGGCAGCTGACGCACCATCACATCATGTCCATGGTGAGCAGAACCTCAGGAGAGCCTGAGGGAGACAGGCAGGCGCTAAGTAACACAAGAGTCCACTGCCTCTCTTAGAGAGAAAGAATTTAGAAGACAAGGTACGCAACAGTGCGTGTATCTCCGGAGACAAGACACGGGAGTTTTTACGTGGCAACTAATGTGATATGGTGCTGTGAGCATCTCTAAAATGGTCCTGAGAAGTCTTAGGGAGCCACCGTTTGTATTGAGATTCAAGCTAGAATTAACGTCTCTAACAAAAAAAGCTTCCATGGAATAAGTATGGACCATAGACAAGTGTGGAGCAAAAGCGCTCAGATGCATGTAAAATGTGGTAAGATCATTCCTAGAAAAAGCATTTAGGACTTTTTCTTTAATATATTCAATACAGTGTCAAGACCTGAAAATGAATTCTTCCAGAGATTTTAAATTAATTTCTATTCTCCTTTATTTCAAAAGGGGACTTGGGAGGACTCCTCAAGGACCCATACAAATCTTATCTTCTGTATCTGCTGAAAACATCATCTTCAAACACATCTTCCTTAACAGATCCCTAAACAGGTTCCCGAGGAGAGCCTCAGGTCCCCACTGGTTAACTCCAAGAACTCTCTCAAATGAGTCACTAGAAGACAAACACACAGCCTCTTCACAGTATGGGTTACAACAGTAATTACTATAATGCAAATCAAAAACATATTATCAGTCTACTGAACTGTATATCATTGTGATAATGTTTTTGTTGTAAACTAAAGGAGCTAAGAGACAATTAAGGTAGAATGGAGATAAAAGCACCTGAACTGACAGTAACCCTAAAGAAGACACAGGACTAATTCGCACCTCCTAAATGCAAAGGAACAACCAAATGATGATGACTATTTTTTGACTTAGTGTCCGAAAATTTCATGGCAACAAACACAACCAGCTAATATAAGTTGTGAGGAGAAACAAGCTGAAACCAGTCATTTTCAAGAAAAGTAAACAGCTCTAAAACACAATTACACTATCACAGTTAAGCAGAGCAAACATACAATAAATGGTCATCGTCAATCTATGGATGCTCTCCCAGACCTAAATAGTACCACATGCCTGTGGTCCCAGCTACTGGGGCTGAGGTGGGAAGATCAATTGAGCCTAGAAG